TTTCTTATAACTCATAATTATCATGTACGAAAATAATATAACTCAAATATGTATATAAAGGCTTCAATTTCACCTAGGAATTGGCAGGCTTGAACATATATTTTATCAAATAAATAACTTGACCTTTGAAAAACAAATCACTATTTTTTCTTTTGCCTGACCTCATGTACCTCAGAACTGTACTAATTTGTATGCCTCTAGGAACTTTAGCATACCACATTGGCCCTGTCCATCTAAAGTATCTCTCTGCAACTAGTTCTCTGTTTTTATCTTTCTTCTAAAGTAGAAACGATATATGACAATACAATAAGATTTGAGAATATTAAATATAAACTTTATTATTAATTAATAATTAAAATTATAAAGTCATTATTAATAATTAATAGTATTAATAAATCTTTAATACTTAAGTATAAAAAAAATTTGAAATAAAAAATAAAACTGAATATCAAGTTTTTAAAGAACAATTTAATTTAACTTGATAGAACATGAAGAATTACACTTGCTTTAAGTTAACAATTATTATTAATTATTTTCTATTCAAATATAATAACTTTAAATTATATGAAAAAATTATCTAAATATTCTATTTTTTTATTATTTGGTAATATATCAAACTTTCAAAGAAATAAATTAAAATCTAAAATATTAACTAGATATCTTCTAATTCTAAAAGTTAACAATTATAAAATAAAAAGCTTTAGTTTAAAATTAGATATTGAACTATATAATCCAAATACAGTAGATTGTCTGAATTTCTGAAATTCTTGAACTAGTTAGGTTTAGACCCATATTATACTATTCTTATGTGTGATATAAGCTGAAACCATGTAAGCTTTTTATTGTTATTGAATTTTAGAAGTTAATTAGTAAACTTAATGCTAAGAGCATTTGCTATATTGATTGCTGTGGTTTTTTTTAGGACTGTAGGCTTTTGAACAGAAGGCTAATAGAATTTTTAGCATTGTTAAGATACATTGTACAGTTAGGTAAACAGATTTGAATCTTGAAATCTTTTATAATTCTAACTATATATGTAATTTAATTATCTTGATTGAATTTTTCAAGGTTGCATATTGGACAAAACCAGATTGATTCATTTTTTTGAATTGAGCATATGTCTTAAGAAAGGTATTTTTTTGTTGTTGATAAAGATAGTTTAAATATTAAGTTGCTCACAAGAAAGAATTTTTGTTTTTCTTTAAGGAGTATAATGTTAAGACTGTTAAGACTTTTTTAGTTTTATTTATTATTTATTTTAAAATTAATTTTTATATAAATTTTCAATAATTTGATTATCTGATTGTTAGTAAAGCAAGTATTAAAGGTATTAGTTTGTGTTAAAATATCATAATCAATTTTTTAATTAATTTATATCTCTCCATATATAAAAAATTATTTAAGATTTTTGATAGTTTAATAACTACAGATATATTATCAGACTTGATTATATATATATATATTTATTTTCATCAAGTATAGGATTTAAAATAGTCTCAAATTGTAAATACTCAAGTTTATAGACTTTTAAGCTAGATTGTGTTTTGTTTTAACTATTTTAAACTTGAGAAATAATATTTTGAATTCTTTTTTTAATGAGTTACTTTGAATTGAAATTATATTTTTCTAGATTGAAAGCAACTTATTTTAAATATCTGTATTATAGACTTGAATGATTTGATTTTCTTGGATTTTGTAATATTCTTAACTTTTGATTTTGCAAAAGAAATATTTTTACTAACATTTGAAATCTTTAAATGTTTGGTTTTATTAATAAGTTCAAGATCATAAGTATATAATTTCTAAAGTATAGCATTGAACCCATTTGATTTAATTTCTGACTACATTTTTTTCTCTTCTGTTTTCAACATTTTCATTTAGGATTGTAATTTCTTATTATAAAAATTTAACCCAGATATAACTTTTACAATACAAGATTCTTTATTTGTATATTGGTTATATATTTTGGCTAAATTATGTGTAATAAAAATAAGATAAATTATAAAATCTCCAATTGAAACATACCCTCCACCTGAAGTAATTTAGGAGATAATAAATAGTAGAGGTATACAAAATGCAATATTAACTAGAAAGTATCGCATATTACATACACGTATTTAACATTAATATAAGATATAACCCCTTATGGGTGATTTCGATCTCTATTTGGACGCCTATCTAACTATTTATAGTTATAGATCGACCAAAATTTCACTATGTATGTAATATTTTATAATTAAGGCTTAATTTATGATTTATGTACAGTATAATGATATTAATTGTAACGCGCCGATTCATGAATATACAAAAAAATTTTTTCCTGGAATATGGCAATGCTATTATGAACTGGATAGGCTATTCAACAATAGTCTTGTAAAACTACTAATAACAGCTTGCTCTTTTCGACAATCTATGCATATATCATAATCACATCTTTGACAGCGCATACTGAGTCCATTATGCAAACGATGATCCTCATCGCATACCCATTTTTTTGACATTTTCGTACAACTTAACGGGTGGTTTTGCGGACAATAGCCTACAGGTTTACATGCGACACCAGATTCGCAATGACTATCGCAAGCATCAAAATTGCATGTAGAGCAATGGTTTTTAGACGTCTATACAAAACAATATAATTAATATATTGAATATAAAAATCACAAGAGAACAATTCGGATAAACTATTTAAGGTTTACCGATGAGTCGCCATCTTTACCACAGATATCGCAATACCAGTTATACGAGTATGCCGTCTTCAGATCATGTCCTGCAAAACACTTTGCCGGAGGCGGACCGTAAATTCTGTCACTCATCGATCCTGATACATCAATTAATAACGCATAGTCGATAGCCACTGGACGAAGTTGTCTTTGTCGTTGAACTTGGGCCCAACCAAGAGTTACATCATCGAAAGAAATTTCCCCAGTAGAAACATTAAAAGAATTAGTAATTTTGAGCGCAAGTAAGATGAATACATATTCGAGTAGGTGGAAATCTTTGACTGGTATGTATGTGAAACCGCCTTTCTCTGCAAACTAAATTTGTAGGTAAAAGAATTATAAGCATACCAAACATTGTTATAATTATTTATTATTATGAATATCTTACCTTTTCCATCTTACTAGAATTTACATCATCACCAACGCCAAGAAGAAACAAAAAGTTACTGTTTTCTCTGGTATACTTGCTGCAAATCTCCGCGGCACATGTTTCGAGACTTTTTATGCTACCAAAGTCGTTACCGTCTGTCACAACAATCATAATCCAGGGACGAGATCGATCGCCTTTACGATAAAAGGGTCCGCTTATAAGTTCGCACATGCAATCATAAAGACTAGTTCCACCGGATGCAATATTTACTAGTGCATTTAGGGAACGGTGAAGATCATCTTCATCGTCAGTGAAGCTCTAAAGGAATCATCGAACAAACAATTAGACTGTTTTAAAAGCAATATAGAACAACGTAAAGAAGAAAAAATATCAGGAATTAGCAAAAAAAATTCTACCTCTCTGATTACCAGATCTTCGTTAAATGTTGCAATACAACCACGATCCAATCCGTCGCGGTGTAAATTAGTAATAAGCTGGTTGCTAGCCTTAATGGCAAGACTTAGTTTGGTTTCCATTTTGTTTTGAGTAAGTAATGTACCGATGGTATTTTATGAGAGACTTGAAGGTTCTTATATATGCTTTTGACACGCGGGCTGATTCGGAACAAACGATACTTGATCAACTAATACAGACGTCGGTATTGTCATTACCCGTCACCCGATACGGCACGCAGTGGGTGGCCACTGTAAAGTATTAATACTATACTGGGCCATAAGCATCCATCTCTCCTAATTTGTGAAAACAATCGAAGAATGACAAGCAATTAACATTAGTACATTAGACTAGATAATCCTTTATAGCGTATTAGAAAAATAATCAATTGAAAGTACTTATTTCACATTGATGATTAGAATTTTCAAATAACTTGTATATGTAGATATAAGCTCTATTATTTAATGTAAGGTTTAACTACTTTTGGAAAATAAACAATCAAAACCTGTATCACACGCTGGTAGATAAAAATGACGGACTCGTATTGAATTACTCGTACAGATAAATACTCAGGTGATGACATGAAGATAAATTTAATAACCGTCAAGGTTGGACTGACAGTTATGCCAATGAACACAAAAATAAATAGAAAAAACAAACCTCAGTCCATTACCGTCGTTTTAGTGAGTGGTTTCGTGATGGGTTGTCTTTACTCGTTTGTAAAAATCGTATGATTACGAATTTCAAATAATAAATTAACTAACAGATTCAATTGTGGGGTGCTGTTGCTTTTCGCACATTTTTTGCACAAAAAATTCGTCTTTCGTGTTATCCAAAACATGACTTTGGGTACTAAATTAGCAGTCTTGAATGATTACAATTAGTTATATAAGACATGTAATTGTAATAGACCTTGACTAATTTCTGGTGTGCATACTGTTTTTTGATTCTGAAACACTGTGAATTTGACGATTGATAATTAACTAAAGGAATTAGCAGGCGCAGCATACCAGGCGAATGTTTCATAGGACGGAGCTGCCGGCATAAACATTCCGTGGCGTGATAAGTTCCTGAATCGTGTAACATGTCGATCATTAGTGATTTGATAAACGAGTGACGTGCTTACTGAATTACCTTCATATCTTACTATGACTATGGCTGCCGCCAGAATCTTCAAAAACGCCAATTTGAAATCCGAAAACACTTGCACTGTAGGTAAGACTATAAAGAGAGAAAGACGTCATACTTCCAATTTCGATAACGTGTTTCTCCCGAAATTTTGCGTAACTAATTATAGCCGCTGCACAGCGGAACAATAGTACAGTAAAGACCGATTATAATAAATTATTAACGTTGCTAAAAATATATCACTTAGTATGTTGATTCGATTTCCTATATTCTCACAAATAAACGAGTATCGGATTACTCTGAACACATGCCATAGTCACTATTTGTTCGGTAATTATTTGGATGACAACTAAAATTATTGATTAAAACGCGCTCATTTATGGCAAGAATACTTATTAATGTTGAGATTGCAAGTGGGAAGCATAGTTTAAAGACATTTATATTTAGTACTTAATATTATTACGAGAGCCACCCTCTGTTCAAAATGTTTTTGGTTTTAATTTTAATTAAATGTCTTGTTTATATCCCGTTTACTCGAGCCAATCAAGTTATATCATATGAAAATTTGCAGATATAGTAAATAATTAGTACAGTACAAATGCTTATACATATTAAATATTCTGAAACATACACAAATATTTCGAAACATTTCAAAACATACCAATATATATCAAATTATAGCAAAATGGTTCAAAATTTTTCTTTATTTTTTAATAATTCATAACCAAAAATACTCTGATATGGGTTGTATTCGTAAAGAATATTATAGACTAATGCAATATTTTTATCAGATGAAGTGATCAAAGAAATTAAAATATCATTTGGTAGAGTACCCAATGCCATTAATACCATGGCAAAAAAAAAAATCATATATCTCATATTTAGGTCAAAGAATATATTGAAAATTGGGAGCGTAAGCAACAAATAATATACTATTATTCATTTCAGATACAAAGTACAATTTCTTCTGAAATAATATCAATATCTCTAAATAAATAATTAAAAAACAACCATATATCTTTACACACTTCAGACAGTATCCCAAGATACATTTCAACCCATACTATCAACAGTATCTGTATATCCAACTCAAAATTATATATCAAATAAAAACTGTGCAAGAGTACAGTTTCTAATTTAGAAATCTTGTGTGCCAGATTGATACTGTGAGACTCTTAGACTAAGTTATTTATTATATTGATAGGCCAAAACCTGCAACAAGATTGAAAGTTTGTTATCAGGCCCTTGAGAATCAGAATAATGCTATAAAACTAGTAATTTGCTATATACTATCATGTTTGAACTAGGCTACCCAGTAATTAGGAGTTGTCTTTTAAGAGCAAACTAATTATTTTGAAGTTATTAAGAACCTGTATCAATGAAATTAAACCAAGCTGAAGCACAATGCAAACTATTTTCTATTAAACAAAAGAAGAAAATTCAATGCTTTAAGCGTGACAGAATAATCATTTTGCTTAAAATACAAAAAATACAAACTAAAAGTCAAAATAATTATCATTAAAAAGCAATCTATCTTATCTGATATTAAATTTATCTATATTAAAAAAATTAAAAACTGTTGTTTCAATTCAATAATAAAATTAATAAAGGTCATATATGAATTTTCTAAATTCTTGTACTTTCAAAACATTTGTAAACAAAACGTTTCTTGAATATTAAAAAATTCTATTTATCTATTTTCTATAGAACTTGTTAATAAATAAAGAAAAAATTTACTATTGAAATAGAAATAAAGGTTTTAGGACTGAAAAAATATTATATTTCTAAATTCTTTGTACAAGTTTTTAAATTTCAAAAATGTTATCTTTAAAAGGTTTTAATTATATCAAGTATTAACTAAATAATCAATACTTTTTTTAAATAATAAATTATGCAATATTCAAATCTCTACCAATATTTAAAAAAACTTAAGTACTTTCTTTTCTTATTTTCAAATATTAACTTATTAAAACACTTGCCAATAATAAAATATTTGCTATACTGTATATACAATCACTGAAAAAACTATATTAAAAAAAATAAGTCTTTTATCTAAAAAAATTATTATTTTAAAATAATTTGCTAATGTTTTTCCTGTTGAGTTGCCAAATTAATAACTACTTAAACAAAATATTAATTATATTATATACTTGATACCTGCAGCTAAACTACTCTTTAGATTCATCTACTATTTTTTAATATAAAAATAGACAAATTAAAAAAATAACTTGTTATATTAATTACTAAAAAATTTATTTAACTGATATTTTTTTTCTTAGTACCTACTGTATATACTTTATATATATTGTTATAATGAAATCACAATGAGTCAGTTACTTCAATCTGTTTTATGCCATATAACAATCAGTATAGTTTCTGCTTAAAAGAGGCATGTGAATTTGACCAGAGTTTGTAGCTGATGCAGATCAGTTCATCAATCTTGCATTCTAACTGGTTACTTCATATACAGTAATTCTATTAGCAAAATAACACTGGGATCAATTACAAGGCAATAGTTTATCAAATAAAAATAGTTTTTATTTAACAGTTACACAGTATCTATTCTGGTTTTTCTTCACTTTTTGACTATTCTCAAGTTACTTATATATATTTTTATTTTATACTTATTATATTTATTATACCTGATATACTACTTATACCTAATATATCATTTATATCTGATATACTTACCCTTATAATTTCCTATTATCTACCTATCATTTTCTCTATAACAATATATAAAAAAAGAAATATTAAAATTTGTATTAATTATTGTATTCTAAACAAAGTAATTATCAAAAACTATTTTCTTATTTTAAATAGAAGAATTAATAGTATTGATATTAAATCGATAAGTCTATTGCTAGTGGCAAGTCAATTTCATATAATATTAAAATAAATTGTTCTTTTTTTCTTTACTTAAGGTATAAATTTGACTTAGTCAATATTTCAAACTATTAATCTTATTCTTTTTCTCATATTATTTTTTCTATATAATTTAAGTTACAGTTTTCTTTAGTAACTTTCAGAATAATTCTCCCATAGTAACTTATTTTAAAAAAATAACTTAATTAACAATTTCTTATTTGAACATATTTATTACTATTATTTATAGTAATTTTAATTAATACTTCAATATTATATAACTATTTTATGATTTTTCTTTACTTATAAAAAAAAATGTTAATTAAATTAGATTTATTATAATTAAAATTGGTTTTCTTTTTTATACTTTCACACTTTATTTATATTATTATTACTATTTCTAACTAATAAACTATAGAACTATAATATTATGACTTATAAACTATTATACTATAAGATAAATTATCTAAGCTTTTTATTATATTATAAAACTATTTGTTAAAATATTTTTATTGCTTCAATTAGGAATATTATATAAATTTCATATTACTGAATCTTATTCAAACATTTTCTACATTAATAATAGATAATATTATATTAAAAAATTTTATTTATTAATAGTTAACTTATAATTGTTAGTAGTCAATTATAATTAATTGATATACTGTATATTAATAGTATTGTTTTATTATGTCAAAAATAAAAAATTATTAATAATCAATTTATATCAATATTTGATATAAATTTTTTTTTATTAAATTATTAAGTTTTAATTTATAGTAATAGATGTTATTTATTGTTAAAAAATAATATAATTAATTTTAATATTAAGTAATACATTGCTGAAACTGCTCAATTTTCATAAACATCACTACTTAATTGCCACTTAATTGTTATTTAATAGTCAAATAATAGTAACAAAGCAATTACAGTAGTGTTAACTACTACACTACTATTTTTTATTGCTACCAAATTGCTACTATATTATTATTATATTGTTACTAAATCATTTTTTTATTGTTAAATATGAATAAAAACTATATTATAAATGCTTTGCTACTATTTCAACAACTTTTACACTATCATTACA